TGGGATTCAATTTCCAAGTGGCATAAGTCTAAAATCTATGGATTTTTGTTTTAAACATACTATGCTGCATCATTACATGATCCTGACTAAAACAGTAAGTGCTTACCCATGGGCTGTGGAACACAAGCATGCTTTTAGCTTTTACACCTTTGAGTTTTAGACCCTGTACATGGTACAGGTAGAATCCTGCTTCTACCACCCTGAAAGCACATTTCTACTGCTCTATTATGAGCAGATCTTATTAAAATGGAAATCTACTGCTACCAGATAGAAATCTATTGCTACCATCTACAAAACAGGTACACTGTGTACTTTCTGTGAGTTTTTAAATGTCTATTGAAAAGCAAAGGTACAGGATCTACTCTTTTACAGAACAATAGAAAACTGGAATGGTGATGTTGTGCCAAAGGATACTTAAGAGCTTTTAAAGTCACGCTCAAATACTAATTGTTGCTGCCCCTAAAATTACTTCTGATCTAATTGCATTTGCTTTATCAAATGTTCTTACTGAAATTTGAATGTATTGAACATGCACTGGCTTTCAAGTCTTAGGCAAGGGTAAAATGTAAAGTAGTGATTTTGTGGTCATTGCAGGTTTGCCTAGTGACTTACAGGGTCTACAGCAAAGTCAGTAGCTCAGAAAGGCAGTTCCTGCTAGGTGCTGGCACTGACCTAGGCACGCACCCTCTCTTTGAGTCACTCACTATTACCGTGTGACCATGGGCCCCTCTTTCAGCCCTCACCCGACTTGATTGTTCAAGAGACAGCTCAAATGATAAAAGAAGCAAGCATAGGAAGAAGCAATATGACTAATTCAGAAGTGAAGAGTACTCATTAAAGATGAGACTTCAAGAAACTCTCAGGTGGGAAATGATGAAGAGGCAATAGAACCTTCAGAATCCTGGTCTGAGAATCCAATTCTCTACTCAACATTTCCATGACTGACCAGTAATCCATGACAAGCTTAAGGTTCTCTGGATTCAGGTTCTAAACTTTCCTGAGGCACAGACCCAGGAATTCTGTGCAGCCAAAGCTTGATGATGGTCAGTCAAGGTTAAGGACGTGGTCTCCTGAAACTGAGCTTAAGTGGCATTGACTGTCCCCACTATGTGCTCAGCATCAGAGACCCTATCTTTCTAAGCTCATCCCCAGGCAGTTGTAAGCTAAAGACAAGACAAAACTAAGTTCCTCTGCATTGTGGCCACTTCTGTAATGTTGATTCTCTGCTGCAAACCATGGGTTTAACTCAAATGGAAACTTGTAATTTTTTTCTATTTAGAGGGGGAAATCAACAGAGCAAGTTGGGGAAAACAATGGATCCACAAAGAAAAAGAAAAGAAAAGAATGGTCATAGGAGCAGGTTAGGCATACAGGAAGGAAATCTGGAAGATGCGTCCAGGGTTTGGAGAATGGGATCCATTGATTTCCTGGTTTTTAGATTCAAATAGGTAGAAGCAATCCTTGAGAGTTGCTTCCCTGAGAATTTCAGTAGACTCAATGCCCTTTGAGTTTACATCAAAGAGCAGTTGGCTTACCAGTTCAGAGCAAGGACTGGTGCCATTCGTCTGGGGTTCAAACCACACCCTGCCCAGTTAATAGCTACATGCCCCTGGGTGAGTCACTTCTCTCTCTGCCCCAGGTCCATCATTGCAAAATAGCACTATCAGTGTTGACCTCACTGGATTACAAATATGAATTTAGAATCCATATTACATGCTTAGCATAGTACCTGAGGCACAATAGCTATTCAGGTGATGTTTATGATTATTGCTATACACTTTATCTACTAGAGAACTCCAAAAAGGCTTGTTCTACATGTATTGAGCCCAGATAGCTGTCACCAGCAAGGTTTAAAAATAGGTCATTCCCCAAATCTCCAATAACATGGGTTTTGGTAAGTTCATTTATTCTGGTGATTCATCCTGTATCATCATATTTAAAATTATTATAAGCTGTTCCTCAGTGGGAGCAATCTGTTTAGGATACATATGATAACTTGTGTAGGTTTCATTCACTTATAAATCGCTCAACACTTCATGATGACTGAATTCTACCGTGTGGGGTTGAATTCATCAGGTAAACTTTAATACTTATTCCTATTCTTTTTATATATTTTGTCCCCCACCAGGGGACATTTCACAATACCCGGGGACATTTTTTATTGCCATGTTTGAGGGATTCTACTGGCATCTGGTAGGCAGAGACTAGGGTTGTGGTTAAGTATCCTAAAATGAACAGGGCAGCCCACTCCTCCAACAAGAATTATCTGGTCCCAAATATCAGTGGTGATGAGATTGAGAATCCATGTTCTAAAACAAAATGACCACCCTCTGCGGCCCCTACTTAACCCAAACCAAACTATGAAAAAAGGAGAGTGTCCAGTAGCACAAACTGAAAGAGAAAGAATTTAGTCTTGTGCAGACAGGGAAGTTTTAGTGATTTATATGTTTCATTGTGTCATTTCACATGACACTGGCATGGCAGTGTTGGTGTCTCTTGTTTATGAATGGTCCCAAGAGAGGGGTTTCTGCTCTGAAAAAGAAAAAGAGGGGTAGTTTTAAACATGGTTGTCTTTCTTTATATGCAGGAAGTTCATGTGTTACAGACACATGCATATTGTACACATGCATATTGTTTCCTTCTTTGGCTTGTTCATTAATTCATTGAATTCATTTATTCACTTGCAGAGCCCAGTGCAAGGCTGGCCTCATTTGAAATGCTGGGAACCGGCCAGATTCTAGAGATAATTAGGTGATAAAGCTGATAGAATTCAGCTATTTTGTCCTCAGTACCACATAAAGTAAATAAAGACATTATGTCCACCTATAACTAAAAAATAAATATTTTAAAAAATCGAGTATATAGAGAAATAGCCACACTTCCTTCTATAAGGATTTTTCCAGATAACTGAAATCCACATCATTAGAATTGAGCCTGCAGTTTTATCCTTTTCAATGCATACTGCATAGACTCCAAACTTCCTAAGCAGAGCAAACAGAATGAAATTTAACCTTTTCTGCATGTCACGGGCTTAACATTACTCATGATGCAAGCCTCAAGCAAAGCTTCCAGGGGGCGTTAGTCATTCTCCTGCCTCTTTCTCTCCTGTCATCTCTGACTTTCCTTGCTGTCCCCATATCATAGTTTCTGAACAACCTCTGGGTGTGGGCATGCACTTCTCCTCTACATAGACTTTAATCTGGCATTTGCACACCTAGGGCTTTTAGGCATGATTCTGCAAATAAGGTTCTATTTCAGATATTTCAAATAGTTGATATCTAATCTGCAGATAAATGTACTTGTCTGCAGAGCACACGTGTGTCTGGATGCAGATGAATATCTTAAAACCCACATCAAGTCACACTGTAAGGACTAAAAACCTATATTAAAGAATCCCCACAATTATGACCCTTTTAACCTTCACATAGTCTACTGGATTTTGCTTACTTAATACGTTAGTTCTCTTTATCATTTTACACAGTGCCTATTATGTGACAGGCCAATCACATTAATTTCTACGACAATCCTCTAAGGCCAGTAGTAACATTCTCATTTTTATAGGTGAGCAATATGCCACTCAGAGACATGAAGTTCTTTGCTCAAAGTCATACCCCCTGGTTAACCTTGGACTGGAAATCAGGCTTAAAGGCCCAAAGTCCAGTCTCCTTTGTATACATGAGAGAATTCCTAGAAATTGAATTTTTAAGACCAAAAGTTATTCATGTTAAAATTTTTATAGCTATTACTAAATTGTACTCCCAAAAAGTTATGGCAGTTTGTACTTCCATCAACAGTGAATGAGTGCCTGTTTCTTCATAGCTCTCTAGCACTGGTTAATATCATTCTTTAAATCTTTACAATCTAAGGGTGATAAATACTCTCTTGTATAATTTGCATTTCTCAGATGCTCATGTGGTCGAACATTTTTTAATGTGTGAAGTTTGTCTTTTTAATCATTACATAACTTTTGTATATCTTCTCATAATTTTTTTCATTTGTAAGAACTATGAGTAGATTATATGCCATATATATTTCTTTTTCTTGTTTAAAGTTTTCTTCATGTTATCTTTTAATGAAAATTAAAGAAATATTTTGTTATCAACATTATTAATACTTTTCTTTGTATAGATTCCTGAGCTTCATGCCTTACTTATATGTTTTCTCTAAGATGATGATGATGATGATGAAGAAGAATCATCCTAGGCAAGCACTCTCTACTGACCTGTATTCCCA